GAAAAATCACATAAAGGGGACATATCTGCAACTTACTCCCACATGTCTCATAAAAAATAATAAGCATATATACATATATACACACACACACACACACACACACACACACACACACACACACACACACACATATATATAGAGAGAGAGAATGCAAAAGATAATGCGGATCGATGAATCTTGGTGATGGGCAGATAGGAGTTCTTTGTACTATTTCTTGTAATTTTTTGCAAAGTTGAAAACTATTTCAAAAGTAAAAAGTAAAAAAATTATACATGTATAATATCCCAAACCATCTAGATATCCAACTTGTCTTGCCTCAGGATTTTACTGCCCAAACTACAACTGCATTTAAGATTTCAGACACCAGACCAGATGCGGTGGCTCACGTTTATAAGCCCAGCACTTTGGGAGGCCGAGGCGGGCAGATCACTTGAGGCCAGGAGTTCCAGGCCAGCCTGGCGAACATCATGAAACCCCATCTCTACTAAAAAAAATAAACAATTAGCCAGGCATGGTGATGGGTGCCTGTAATCCCAGCTACTCAGGAGGCAGAGACAGGAGAATCACTTGAACCCAGAAGGCAGAGGTTGCAATGAGCCGAAATTGTGCCATTGCATTCCAGCCTGAGCAACAAGAGTGAAACTGCATCTCAAAAAAGATTTCAGACACCAAAGAGGACTACTTTAATCATCAGAGATTAATGAAGAAAACACACAAACAAGCAACAAACATAAGCAGACACAAGTGAAACAATAAATTCAAACCAAGAGAAGACCAAATCACCTCAGGAGGGAATGCCGTAAGGCACAAAGGCTTCATAGTAGTTTAAAGAGAAAGAGTGTGAGAAAATTGAGTCATCACACAATACATGGTGGCACAGGCATGCTAAACTCAAAAGAACTGAGCTGTAACAGTCAGTAGCATAGTCACACTGTAAAGTGACTAGGTTTCAGCAATACATCATTATTTGTCACACTGAATTTACATGGTTAATCTAAATTTTACTCATTTTGTTAGTATTTAATTTTAAAGTTTGTCTTAGCGTTTGGTTAAGTGTTCTAAGTATATATATTTGCATATACTTAAGTAAATCACAGATTTAAGGCAACACTGGCAATCTTAGGGAATATTTTTCCTTTAAAAAGGGTCTGTGTATTACTAAAGTTTGCAGACCACTACACTACATAAATAATTTTACAGGTGTAGCATGATTTGCTAAATTCCCGCTTTCCAAGGGACACTGAGTAGTTTCCAATTTGGAACTATAAATGCTTGTAATAAACATCAAAGTGTTTGCATAAAGCTTTGCCAGAATTATGCATAATCTCCTCAGGTATTACTGAGTTATAGGGTACAAATGCATTTTGAAGCTTCTTGAAGGATGGTGCCACATTACATAAGAATACTGGTCTCCTATACCATATTAAGCATTGTCCTTTGTTTTCACATTTTCTGTGATGTGATAGGAAACAAACTGTATCTGACTATTGCTTTAATTTGCATTTCTTCAGTAACACTAAATCATTTGTATGTGTTTAGAGACTATTTGAATGTCTTCTTGAGCTGTTTGTGACACTTGTCCATTTTTCCCGTTTAGGTCTTGGTGTTTCTCTTATTGATTTAAATGAGAAATTTCTAAGTTGTAGACATTATCCCTGTCATTTCTTCCCATTTTTCCTCCCAGTTATTAGTCTTTTAATTCCTTCCTTACCTTTTTGAGCTTTTCTATCTCATTTTCATCCTTTTTCACTGTCTGCTCCCACATGTGTACTTTATCCTGATCCTCCTTCAGTTGGTTCTTTTCAAAATCCAACTGAATGCCCAAGCGAGTCTTCTGATTCTCAAACTCCAAACTGTGTATAAAGGTAGGGGGAGAATCACTCATAATCTCATCAGCCAGAGATAACCAATGCATAAAATCCAACTGTGGAAAGAAAGAGAAACCAGACCCAGGGCTTGGGGACACAGAGTTACTGATTTTCAGTCACAGCTTGCTTCATCCATCCATATGAACATAAAACGGTCCTCTGAAGCTGAGTTCCTCAGCCTAGCCCTGTGGACATGGCACAAGGCAGGGAAGATTTGGCCAAACCTTATTTATCCCCACTTTAAACACTGGAGACCCCAGCATCCTCCACGTTCCTACAAGGAGGCATAGAAGAGTCCATCTGAATCCACCAGCTATGGTAATTGCTATTTATTAAGCTTCTGTGTACTTTACATACATTATCTCTAATCCTCTAATCAACAGCTCTGCAAGTAGGCATTATTATCCTAATTTTACAAATGAGGAAACTTAGGCCAAGACATAAAAGACCTTGCCCAAGGCCACAAAGCTAGTAAATGGCACACGTGAGGCTTAAACCCAGATTTAACACCAAAATCTGGGCTCTTTCTAGTATACCACCATTGCAATATAATGTAGTGGATTAAGAAGACTGGTATCTCAACTCTGCCACTTACTGGTAGTGTGATTCAGGCAAGTTGGTTATACTCTCCAGGCCTCAGTCTCCTCATTGGGAAAATGGACGTAATAATAGTACTTATCTTAGGGGTATTGGGAGATTTTTAAATGAGTTAATATGCATAAAGTCCTTAGAACCACACCAGGTCCACGATAACTACTCAATCGATTTTAGTTACCATTATCACCAGGTATATTGACTGAACTCAGCTCACTTTTGCCCAAGGGCTTGAAGTACAACATCCCAACCTCTGCCCCAAGGTCCCAGAACCTCTTAAAGGGCAGAACTTGGATAGTACAAAAACATGGAGAAAATACTAGATTACTACTATTGTCCTCCTCTCCATCTCTTCAGAAACTCAGAGTATGCAACCAGTATACACAGGTACTGGCAGGCCAGGCAGGACTAACTTCCAATTGCCCTCTCCAACTCCCAATATGATATGACAGATGCTGCCAGATGTCATGCTAGCAGCTTAAACCTATTAGCCACCATAATCCAAATGAAATGCAACTAACTCTATAATTTTGAGCTATGCAATTTTATGTCCAGTCTCCTAAGTATGACTCATAAAGGCCTCTGTGATCTGGTCCCTGCTGACCTCTTCATCACTCCCGCCTTCTTCCTGACCCTGCTTTTATGCTCCAGACATTCAAAACTACTTAGCACCCAGAACAAGGCATGCTCTCACACCTCCAAGCATGCTGTTCTCCTGCCTGGAATTCTCTTTTTCTGTCGCTGTCTGGCTGGCTAAATCCTACTCACTCTTCAGGTCTCCAGTCATCACTCCCTATTTTGTAAAACCTTTCCTGATGGTTCTGAACAGGTTCCTAGTTTCTATTACACTTTGCTGGGTTCCTCCCTTTTTAGACTTCTGATGCAGAGGCGAGTTAATCATATCCCACAGTTCATAACACACTTATCACTGCCTGGGCAAGACCCTTCCCTTGTCCCCTTTGTTTCAATACCCAGTTTCCATTCCCATTACCTTTCCTACTGTGAATATGCACCACAAAGTGACATACACACACGCATTCCTTAAAAACGCACATCCTTGTAAAATGTCATAGTTCTAAAATTTACGCAAACCTATTGTGTTATAAATTTTATTTTTTTCCAGTCAATACCAGGTTTGTAAGTTAACGATTGCTGCCCATAAATCTAGTTCTTGCTGTGAATTCCTACACAGTATTCCAGTTTTAATATTCATTTGACTTATGCTTTCCCCAGTAGTGGCCATCTACATTGCCACCAATGTCCCACTACTACAAGTTATGCCAAGATGAGTAACACTGAACGTGTGTCTCTTTGGGACCCTATGACAAGACTCTCTCTGGGATATACACCCGTAGGGCATATATATATTCACATACTACACAGGGCATCTATAGACTTATTTCCACCAAACACTGTTAGACTTTTTAATTTGCATTTCTCTGATTAAGAGGTTAGACCACAATTACTACAGTTGTTAGCCACTTGAACTTCTCTTTCCATGAAAGGCTATCTATATTCTTTGCCACTTTTTTTTTCTTACTTTTTTCATTGGATTAGGTATCATAAGTACTTTGCCACATTTCTATTGGGTTTCTTTCTTTTTTTTTTTTTTTGAGACAGAGTTTCACTCTTGTTACCCAGGCTGGAGTGCAATGGCGCGATCTCGGCTCACCGCAACCTCCGCCTCCTGGGTTCAGGCAATTCTCCTGCCTCAGCCTCCTGAGTAGCTGGGATTACAGGCACGTGCCACCATGCCCAGCTAATTTTTTGTAGTTTTTTAGTAGAGATGGGGTTTCACCATGTTGACCAGGATGGTCTCGATCTCTTGACCTCGTGATCCACCCGCCTCGGCCTCCCAAAGTGCTGGGATTACAGGTGTGAGCCACCGCGCCCGGCCTTCTATTGGGTTTCTTGTCATTGTTTTTTTATTTTTCCTGTTGTTGATTTGCAGTTCCTTGAAAATTTCTTCAGTATTTTGTATCTACCTTAATTACACCATCAATCACACTGTCCTGAAATGGATGTTTCCCCAGTACTCTATAGTTTCCTGCGGAAAGAAACAGCATCTGATTCAACTCTGTGTCCTTGAGACTGGCTTGGAGTAGGACGGCAATGAGTATTTACTATATGGGCAAAGGACTTTAGCTAACTGAAGCCCAGGGTACAAGGGGTGACCTCCTTCAGCAGAGACTGTGTTGTGTTCATCTGTCTTACCTCTCCCTTGTCCCCCTTCCAATACCTAGCACAAGACAACCTGGCACAAGGTAGGTACTCAACAGAGGTTTGTTGAATGAATGAATCAACTAAAGTGAGGAAAAAAGAGATTATTTTCTTCTGGCTATTCTTTCAACCAAGAATTTCATCCCCCACCTCCCTCCACCTCACATTGCCCATTATAATGACAACAAAAACTAATATTTCTTGCTCTTAGTAGATGCTACGTAAGATGCTAAATACCTTTTTAAAAGGTTAAAAAAACAAAAAGGCTGGGCACTATGGCTCACCCTGCAATCCTAGCACTTTGGGAGGCTGAGGTAGGAGGATCACTTGAGCCCAGGAGTTCAAGACCAGACTGGACAACATGGCAAACCCCATCTCTGCAACAATAACCACCAAAAAAAAAAAAAGCAAAAAAAGAAGAATTAGCTGGGTGTGGTGGCAAGCATCTGTAGTCCCAGCTACTCAGGAGGCTGAGGTGGGAAGATCACTTGCGCCTGGGAAGGTCAAGGTTGCCAATGCACGCCAGTCTTGGCAAGAGTGAGACCCTGTCTTAAAAAAAAAAGTAAAAAAAAGCTTTGCACGGTGGCAGTATCATAGCCAATGAGGTTTATCCGAGGTGGGATTATTGCTAATTGAAAACTTTTCCCAACACCCTGAAATGACGACTTGAAATACAGTTGGCACTGGCAATTTTTGGCAGACTCTACAGGGACTAAAAGAAAAAAAAAAGATTATTTCACCTGATACTCCCAACAATGCCACGAGATAGGCATTATTATACCATTTTACAGATACTGCAGCTTACAGAAGTCAAGTCACTGCCAAAGATAATGAGTTGTGAAGATGGGGTTGGAATCCAGGAATCCAGGAAATCAAGTTTAGAGCTGGCACTCTTTTTATTAATTAATTAATTAATTATTTGCCATTCAGAGTCAACTTTTATTGAGCACCTCCTATTTTCCAGAACCAAAAACCTTACAGAATTCTGAAAGCCATCCTTTAAGGTAAGTAACAAGCCGGGCACGGTGGCTCACGCCTGTAATCCCAGCACTTTGGGAGGCCAAGGCGGGTGGATCACGAGGTCAAGAGATTGAGACCATCCTGGTCAACAAGGTGAAACCCCGTCTCTACTAAAAATACAAAAATTAGCTGGGCATGGTGGCGCGTGCCTGTAGTCCCAGCTACTCAGGAGGCTGAGGCAGGAGAATTGCCTGAACCCAGGAGGCGGTTGCGGTGAGCCGAGATCGCGCCATTGCACTCCAGCCTGGGTAACAAGAGCGAAACTTCGCCTCAAAAAAAAAAAAAAGGTAAGTAACAGTAACTTCTACTTAACAGACAGGAAAACTAAGAATCATACTGATAGAACTTGCTCAACATCATAGGCAGAAACATAATTTTTTTTTTTTTTTTTTTTT